AAGGCCAGTGGATGCTGCTCTGGTCCTTTAGGTATGAACAAATATTTGTATAACATACAGCTTTGTTTAGAATTTACTTGTTCTTTTTCAGCAAATAAGATTGTGCAGAAATGCTAACATAATCTTTTATGCTTCCAAATGGCCATCATTGTCTGCAGCAAGATGGCCACACTCCGTCACAGACCACACGATTGCCCGTTACCTTGGATACAAGGCTGGCTCTGTATGCTGCCAGTTGCTTCAGGTACTCCTTCTTTGCAGCCTCTGTTTTCTTTTTATAGACCTGTAACAACAAAGAATCTTAAATTAGAAAGTGCATCTGCTTTTGTTTCCAGAGGGGTACAACGGAGAATGATAATTGCGGGTGTGCGCGCACATGCACACATGTATATAATGTGATAATATATATCTCCCCAAAGACTGTATTTTCTTACCAAAACACATTTTTAAGAAACATGGCAATAGACTAGAAAAGAAAAAGATTAATAGCAGTGGAGTTTTCCATTCTGTGTAACGCTCATGAAAAGGTTTATTTGGGTTACTTTGAGAGTGGAGGTAGTTGGCTTGGAAAGATACTATTGATGCAGGTTCCCAGGGAAACCACACGTGAGCAAAGAAGCCATTCGTATTTATAAAATGGGCAGATGATTCTACACTGCATTCAAATCTGGATATATACACTCCACGCAAAATACAGAAACAAGGCCAGAATTCAGTGACCAATTATGTTCAGTAAGTAAATCAAAGGAACAGATACGGAGTCTGCAGGTTCATCACTCTTTCAAAATTTCGTGCCTTGAAGTTCTATTCTCAGAGCAGCAGGAGTCGGTGATGGCAGTTAAAGTCACATTTGGGATGGACGGGGGACCCCGAGCGGCCGAGGACCGCGTGTGTGCGGTGCTCGCTCTGGTCACACCCTTTCCACGAAAACCCTGCAAGGACCAGGTCTGTAGATGCCTCGGTGTGAAAAGGCAAAAGTGTTCTGAGTGGAATTGCAGTTTACAGAGGCTTTTCATTTTGCAGAGGACATCATCTTGCAAACAAAAGTAAAATCATCCTAAACTGAGCAAAAGTACTGAATAATGACGTGCTGGGAGGCCAAAGGTCACGTGGCTTAGTTAAACAGAGAAAAGTCATTAGAGTCAAAATGAATGGTTAGCAAAGTGAATCTTCACGGGGCTCTGCTACCATTAAATTGATCCTTTCAGGGCTTTAGGGTCTTTTTTTGGTCAATCTTTTGAAAGCAGCCCTAAAGAACAAAATCTTTTCATTCATTCTTTGAATGTATTTTCATCAGTAAGACTATTTTAAATTTCCTGCATCTTGAATTTTACAGCAGAGAATGAGGCTTGGCTAATAACTGTAATGCTGAGCTTGAAACCAGACATAGATCAGCAGGAGAAGTGGCATTAGACTTAGTCAGGAGTAGTTAAATGTAGATTATGTCTAAAGACCAAAGATCTGCCAAAGTCAGTGGCAGAGGTCAATTTATGGTTTCTGATGTGGAGGGTGGTTTGCTGAGCTCAGTCCCCAGCTGTGAAATTCAAGGTGTGAGAAATATTACTTACTCATGAATATTTTAATTAAAGTGGAACATTTTACTTAAGGTAAACAAATGAGTAAACTTGTCAACAGAATTATAAAGGACCCTATGAAATGAATGTGCTAATTGTTTCTCCTTAGGGAGATCTTCAGCCTAGTCTTTCATATTTGGCATTCTGTTATAATAAGAGGCAATTATAATAAGTCAATTAAGAATTCATATCATATTATATAATCATTGTGTCATCTTTACAATATATGCAACTAAAGAAACTTAAAAGAAATTTTTTAGTACAAAGCCCATTAATCCTTTGGTTCAATTACAAGAGAATTCTAAATTTACTGAGCTAATAAGTATTAGACATCAAATTCAGATCCTTTTTTAGAAATTCATACATGAAAACAAATAAACACTAAATTACAGCAAATGTCTTTCAATAGTATGATCCATGTATATTGCATGCTTTGGTTCAGCCACAATCAGAAACACAAAGCCCTCCTGCTTTTTATTGATTTCTTTCTTTCTTCAAAGACAGATTTCTGTTTGTAGTCCTCCCTCCAATCTCTCCTCCAAGACATAATTTATAATTAATGACTTTAAACTGACAATGTTTACATTTACTTTTAACACCTTAAAACTGTTTCGAGAGGCTTTTTCTCCCACACAGACAGAAGTCCTATTCAGGATTTGCAAGCAAATATTTAGCAAAAATATCTCTGATGGTAGTATGCATTTGCGTACTCAAAACATTTCTATCATGTTTTTTTAAAATTAATATGCTATTCCAAGTGACCCCCAGGCAGCTAACCAGGGTTCATTTAGCTTCCCAAGGCAAATGTAACACACTTGGGTCCATAGTATTGCCCAAAGCATCATTTTCTAGGCAGCACAGATAAGACGGTGTTGCCAGGCGGTCTGATTGTAGCATCTCTCATCTTTCTTGTGTTCGGTTTCTATTGAAACCGCAACACTGTAACTACGGGAGGGCTCCTGGTGGTTAACATCCCACAAGGTGTTAACTTTCCTGAAATTTGTTGATTAACCACTGCGAGAGAAAGGTGGTTAACTCAGTGCGTTTCAGGCTGAACATGTGCCCTCTGGTTTCAAGGGGAGATCGATGTCGTTACGGGATCCCTGACTAGCATCGCGAGCGTCCTGTTTCCCACAAATGGCTCCCTGTCGGCATTGATGATTGGCTACGTGGGATCCTAGTGCGAGCGCCTAAATACCACTTTAGAAAAGAGTAAACTCATCACGTCACATTACATGGATTGATGGGTCCGCTCTTCGCTGAATAGCAGCAGATGTTCAGAGGGAGGATGCAAAGGGTGGTAATTTCAGGAGGTGTAGTTCTGTAATTGTGTTTAAAGGGTGTGTGTGGTGGGAAGCCCAGATTAGAATTAAAATCTGAGGTGGTTTCCCCTACGGTAATTTAGAACCTCCAACTTTGAGAACTACCTAATGGCTCAAATATCACACACCCTGTATGTCTTCAGGAAGCTACCCTCTAAAATTGCACAGGATTCTTAATGAATTCTATATTTGATGGAAATGTCTGAAGGAGGACCTCAAATGTATGAGAAAATGATAAAAAAAAAAAGTTAAATTCCTACTTCAGAACAGATGTTTTAAAATCATCAGTAAAAAGTTCCTAAAAAACGTTTCAAAGCTCTGTTCATGGATGGAGAGGGTCTTCTGCTTGCAGAAACCAAAGATGATGTTGACTGTGTTTGGCCATGACCAGCCCGCTGCAATGATCAAACCTTCTAGCCTAGGAAGATGGGTCTGATTTACGTCCAAGCTGAGTCTGGGAAAGAAACGGTCTTTCTCTCTCTCAGGGAAAGACAAATATTTTAAAGATATGTGATTCATAACAGTAAATATTAGTACTCAGCTGAGCTACAAAATGGCTTCCAAATGGTCTACAGCTGTTTGAAATAAAGTGCAAGGTTGGCCAGATGAGGATTTGAAAATCGTAATACATCATTTATCATTTTCCCCAGCTCATCCAAACACTTTTGAATTCATCCTGTCCTAACTTAGTTATGTGCTGTGGTTTGTTATTCTAAGAAAGCTACCATATCCTATCTAAGGATTGCATCTCAGTGGCTAAACTAAAACAGACATCAAATTGCAATTCCAGAGAATCCAGATTCCGTTCATGTAATCTAGTGATTCACTGAATCATTTTTTAAATGCTCTAAATACCAGCATGTATATGTGTTTTTATAGGCTAATATAATCTCTAATTAAAATCAGCAGTTTAGCATCTGAATATGATGCACTCAAATAGAAAAAATTCTAATACAACCTGTCACTTTGCCTTTTTTTTTTTACTTTCTGCTCCCTCCTCAAATGATCCATCTAACTTATACAGAAAAGTAAAATCTTATAAATACCACTTAATTCCTTCTTCCTTCCTTCTTTTCTGCTCTGGCTCTTAGTTAATCTCTAGTCATAGTTTATTTCAAACCAACTCTTTACAGTAATAATAAGAAAAACCATAATTCTTCCAATTCTGGATTTTATTCAAACACCATAAAATTAAAACTAGAAGGCATTTTTCTTTTTCGTTAACTTCAAATGCAGTCCCCCCCTTTTAAGTTCATATTTATAGAAAAAGCTTAGAGATAGTTATATATAAGGAATAATAATTTAATCACAACCCCCTGTCATATCCTTGAGAAATTAACATTTGCAGCATCTTTCAATGCTGTGTTATTTAGGACATTTAGAGCAAGTGCATCTGTGTTTCATACAGAACTCGGTCCTCAAATGCAGTTAAATTTCCATTTGTGTAACTTGCTCAGCGTTTCTTAAGCATTCCAGAACTCAAAGAACTTTATAAAGTAGCATTCAGAGTATTGAAGATATTATACAATGCGACACAAATCTTGCTATCGATTCTTTTCAGGACCCATCAGATGCATCTGAATAGCCTACACAGTAAGGGTGTGACCTATTTCTGGAATGGTAGGTCTCAGAAGCAAGCTCCTTGTCTGAAAAATGGCTGCAAAATATATCTGTCAACTTATTAAATGAGGATGACTGGGGTGATTATGGTGACGTTCAATTACACTTAACAAAATACTGAGGGGATCTATTATGTCCCTGCATGGTGTGAGGTAGTAAAGCTACATAATAAAAGAAAGGCATTAAAAATATGCCTCTCCTGTGTGCATTTTTTGTGTCAGGAATTTTATATATCTCTATATATACACACATAATCACATATATTTACATACCGATACACATACACACAATACGTGTTATATGTAATCAGATTGATCTGATGTCTAAGAGCCATCTTTGTTTATGCATTGGTTCCTCCTGGCTGCATGAGATCTCCCCTTGCTGCCTCTCTGTGAATCTATTTCTGTTTTGTAGATAAGTTCATTAGTGTCTTCTTTTCTTTTTTTAATTCCACACATGACTGATATCACATGGTATTTTTCTTTCTCTTTCTGGCTTACTTCACTTAGAAAGCGCTGTCTCAAGTTTTTATGAATAGAAACTTCTTACATTCTACAGGTTTTAAATGAACAATCATTTTCTACATCCTCTGCTCCTAGTTTAAAAAAAAAACTGGGGCAATGCATAATGTTTATAAGGAAATGGCCAAGATAAACACATGTGTGAATGTTACAGTGCAACAGGATTTTAGTTAACCTTAAGTATTGTTGACATAAAATCCAAATTTTATCATAAGATACGGGGTGGGGGGAGGGGGAAGCCCAGCA